AGTCTTTCCATGTAATTCTTTTATCCTAGGCTAGGATCCTTTAAATTAAGTATGTTGAGGGGGGGCTGCCAAATTGACCAAACCTTCTTTAAGTTGCTCATCTTTCCCAAAGTTACAAGTAGTGAATCAAATGGGAATTTGAAATGAGTTATTTGAGGTACAGGTCACGACATAAATTTAGATGGCATAAAAACATTCTCCCATTGATGACGTGCCTGCCCTTAGTGGCTTAGTTTTGAAGTTTACAAATTTTGTCCTTAAGGAGCATTACATTAAAGTAATGTATAAACCGGTATAAATACAGAGTGCTTCTTAGTTATTGAACTCTAGCAACATGCGAACGTGGTGAGAAATTTTTACGATTCCTTTTGTTTATGCGAAAATAATTATTCAGTATATCGTAGATAAGGAATGAATCCAAGGACAAGCAAATCTTCATCTTTCTGCAAATGTTGAAAATCAAAATTGTGTTACCGAACTATAATTTTTCCAGAACATCTAGCTCGATTTCTTTTTCCTTATGACCTAGGACAACGGTTATTTTCCTGCTTCTTGCATCATGGATCTCTCACATTTCTATTTTCTGCTTTTATTATCTGAAAGAGTAAAAAGCAGAACAGAGAAACACTTATTAGCTGTTCTGTAGACAGTTTATATTAGTATTTATGCTCTCTTGTTGAATGCCATAATACTGTATATGACGTAGTAAATTCTGCCTTTCATTTCGATATCGTTAAGAGTCTAGCTTCAATTTGATATGACTTTTTCTCGTCTAGTTATGTAACACATCGTGTAAAGGTTAATATGCTTCTTATTTTTGGGCAACAGGTGGCAGTGTCCACCAATAGAACAGCAACTTCACAAATACCCAATTATCCTAATCTCCCTGCTCAATTGTTGTGCCAAGTTCACAATGTTACACTCCATGTAGGTCTTTCTCTTGATTTTTTTTTCTGGTTCAGTACAGTGAAAAGGATTATATGCTGAAATAAACGTGAATTTTGTTTCTTGGAATAGTTATAGTTCTCTTGATTTTCTTGTGATCAATAGGCAGATAAAGATACAGATGAGATATATGCCCAAATGAGCCTTCAACCTGTGAATTCTGTAAGTCTGGCTACTGCAAACTATTTTTATCACCGGACTACTAGTTTATGAAATTGGCAAATATATTACATGATAAAGAACTGAAACTGTCATTTTTCTTCAGAAAACGTTTCATTTCTGTGGTGATAACTTACTACTTGATCAGGAAAAAGATGTCTTTCCTATACCAGATTTTGGGTTAAAGCCTAGTAAACATCCAACTGAGTTCTTCTGTAAAACTTTGACGGCAAGTGATACAAGCACACATGGTGGCTTCTCAGTTCCTCGGAGGGCTGCAGAAAAGCTCTTTCCCCAATTGGTGAGGTTTTTTTATTTCTGAAAGATTTCGTCGCTAGCTGTCGTCATGTGGTGTACCCTTTAATGCAACAATTAATGAGTTCTTTATATCTGTTTCAGGACTACTCAATGCAACCTCCAACTCAAGAGCTTGTTGTACGCGATTTGCATGATAATACCTGGACTTTTCGTCATATATACCGAGGTGAGCATTTAGTGGTTTTGGGATGCCTTTCTTTTTTAGTTTCTCTTTACCATTTTTATTTCGTTCGTGTGTAGGTCAGCCGAAGAGACATCTACTCACAACTGGTTGGAGTATGTTTGTTGGTGCAAAGCGTCTTAGAGCAGGCGATGCTGTTCTGTTTATCAGGTATTTTTTATTAGGACTTTGCCTAGTGCTTCATCCATATGTTTAAATTTACACAATCAGCCCTCCTTTTGAGACATCACATGATAATTGTCTGCCTGAGCATAAATGTTTACCAAGTTTAATATTAAGTCATTACGTGACATTTACCAATTATGAAGAAAATTACAGTATAATATTCTCCCTATAGGCACGTTCAATAATTATAATTTAAATGCATATGGTAGTTTTTATTAGTGATGCTTGCAACTGTCTGGCGTGGCTCTTACCCAACACTTCCTGTTCTGGTAGCGGCAAATCTAATCCTTTCTATTCACCATCCTATCCCATCTGGATCATATGTTTTTGTTCCGTACCAATACAATATATTTGTACATCTGCATATATATATGGGAGAAACATCTATATATTTGAGATTTGCTATAATTTCTCCTCCTTTCTGATAGGGATGAAAAATCACAATTGTTGCTGGGAGTGAGGCGTGTTAACCGTCAGCAGACAGCTTTGCCATCTTCAGTGCTGTCTGCTGATAGCATGCACATTGGAATCCTTGCTGCTGCAGCTCATGCTGCTGCTAATAGAAGCCCGTTTACTATTTTCTACAATCCAAGGTACCTCAGATATACATTTTGGGCCCTAATATAAACCAATGGGTGACTTGATTATACAGTAATTATTCTTTACTTGTAGGGCATGCCCTTCAGAATTTATCATTCCTTTGGCTAAATATCGAAAATCTGTATATGGTACACAACTCTCTGTTGGTATGAGATTTGGAATGATGTTTGAAACTGAAGAATCAAGTAAACGCAGGTAAATATTATAATGCACGAGGATGTTAATTCGTTTTGGCATTTTCTAATCCTTTCTTCGATGCATTTCTCCATTCTTTAACAGATATATGGGCACTCTTGTTGGTGTAAGTGATTTAGATCCACTGAGATGGCCTAATTCAAAGTGGCGTAGTCTTCAGGTGAGTATAATATACTATTATCGTTCAATTATTTCTCCCAAAATGATATTTGTACCCTAAATAATGTTGGATGTAAACCTCCCTGATTAATAATTCTCATGGCACATTCTCATGGTTTTTAGTCTTTCACTAGATATTCATCTCTGATAACAGGTTGAGTGGGACGAGCCAGGATGCGGTGATAAACAAAATCGAGTTAGTCCATGGGAAATTGAGACTCCTGAAAGTCTCTTTATATTTCCATCTTTAACTACAAGTTTCAAACGTCCTTTCCACTCTGCGTTTATAGGTAGTTGATTGTCATTCAAAATGACTTCTGCTGCTCGTCATTGGCATGAATTTATGTATTGTATATTTTTCTGTAGCAGGAGCGCAAACAGAATGGGATAATTTGATTAATAGACCTTTCGTTCGAGTTCCTGAAAATAGAAATGGTGAGTTTCAGTGTCCCTCAGTATCAACCCTGTGGTCAGAGCAATTAATGAAGATGCTTATGAAACCTCATGAAGTAAACCATCCTGGCAATATTGCACCTTCTGTGCTAGAAACTACCATTAATGATACAGCCTTGCAAGAATCTAAGGCTCTGGTGCAATCAGCAATCAAGCAGAAATCTGAGGTGATCCCTTCAGGAATGGCATCACTGCAAAGAGACACTTATCCTCAAACCTTTGTTGGCCAACCAAATATCACCAACACAAACAATTTTGGAACTAGTTCGGAATTGGAAAAAATAGAACCTGTACTTACTACAAATCAGCTAAGCCAGTTTGAATCACAGGGGCCGAGCAATGAAGAGAAACTGTTGGTGAAGCCCATGAATCCTCCTAATCTTGTAACTGATCTAGCTATCCTGAACCAGAACAGCGGCTCATTACCTTTGCAGACAAGTCCGTGGATCATGCAATCACGTCTGGACTCACAAATATTGCAGAGCCCACAAAGTGATCCATCCCAATTAGATTCTGCTAATGTCAACAGCTTGCTTCAAAACCCTGGTAGGATAGAATGCAATTCATACGTGCCTGTGTGTCATCCTCCAACTGCATCTTTTAGCACTCCGGGATATGCATCCATTTTGAAGAGATCAGACCAGCCTACAACGTCAGCAGAAATTGTTTGTCCTGTACTGCTTTCAACAGGACAAGGATTGTGGGATCCTCAGTTTAACAATCCCAAGTGTGCCTCCCAGGAAAACCTTCTTGATCCACCACCCCATCATGACTTGTCTAATCTTCAGTATGCATCAAATTCATATGGCTTGAAAGACTTGTCAGAAGAGAGTCATCCCCAGAGTGATATATATAGTTGTCTTAATCTTGACGGTAGTAACAGTGGAAGTACAGTAATTGATCCTTCCATTTCAAACGCAATATTGGAGGATTTTTGCACGTTAAAGCATGCTGACTTCCATAACCCTTCAGATTATCTGATGGGAAACTTCAGTTCGAGCCAAGATGTTCAATCTCAGATTACATCAGCTAGTCTAGTAGATTCTCAGACTTTCTCTCTACAAGAATATGCAGACAATTCAGGCGGGGCATCCTCAAGCAATGTGGATTTCGATGACACTACCCTTTTGCAGAATAGCTCGTGGCAGCAAGCAACTCAGCGGCTCCGAACCTATACAAAGGCAAGCAACTTATTGCGAACAAAAATTCTCAGCAACTTTTTCCGCTCTTATTTCAGGAATGCTATATCATGTTGAATTTTACTTATATACTCTTTCCATCTGCTTCTCTCGTGCCTTGTATTTTAAGTCTTTAGTATTTACTACTCTCTTATCTGAATACATTGTATCGGGGGACGATGTGTGTGGCAAATGACAGATTCAAAAAGCTGGATCAGTTGGAAGGTCGATTGATGTCTCAAGTTTCAAGAATTATGATGAACTGCGTTCTGAAATTGAACGCATGTTTGGACTTGAAAGGTTGCTCAACGACTCTGGTTCTGGTTGGAAGCTAGTTTATGTGGATTTTGAAAGTGATGTTCTTCTTGTTGGGGATGATCCTTGGGAGTAAGTCCCATTTTTACTCTAATATTCATGCGTAATTTCATTTTGGTCATTAATAATAACAGTCCACCATTGTAAATTTCTGCACTTGCTCGTGTGCAAAGAATTTGTTTCACATTTTCTTACAAAATTTAACATTACACGACTATGCAGGGAGTTTGTTGGTTGTGTGAGATGCATCAGAATATTATCGCCCTCGGAAGTTCAACAGATGGGTGAAGAGGGAATGCAACTTTTAAACTCTGCTGCACTGCAAGGGGTAAATGGCGAAGGAGGATTCAATCGAGATGGTCCACGCTGATTTATGCAGTGGATTTGTTTATCAGGAAAATATGGAATTTGCTTATAAAATTTCCATGAAGCAAGGTTGAATTAGAGCTTTCTTTTTAAAGCGTGGGATTGTAATAACTTTGGGTTAAAAATACATTTTTTTAACGTATGAAGTCTTATGTTTGGCATAGAGCCATGTAATCGAATGAATGCTAGCTGGCATAAATATTTTCTAATGAAGGCAAGATCCCAAGTGGATTCAATTTGTTCATGAAAGGCGTAGTCTGTCTATTTGTATCACCTGTTGAGTTGGAAGCAAGTTTAGGGTTGCCTTTGAGCATACCTCCAGGCATTAATACTATTTCTTATGATACAGAGGACCTGAATAGATAATCTGCCAGAAGAAAACTTTTACCAGGTAACCTTCAAAGACAAAGCAACAAAAAGCTTGCGTTACTGCCTAGCATCAATAAATCCAGTTCCAAGATTGAACTGTGAGACGCAACTGTCGAATTCTGTCTTGCGTTCAAATCAAATTTGAATGTGCCATCATTTGATAAAAAAAATGAATTTGACTTGTGAATATGATATATAATTTTAATCAATAAATCTACCACCACTTTAATCACTTAAAACTTCTGGATGATGTGGGAACACAAACTTGTTTATACTTTCCACTTGCCTTTCAAATAACTTGCCTCATCGTATCGAAAGACTTCCAAGTCTTCAATACCAAAAACTTAGGGTCATTAATGCTTTGTTCATGTAAATATAATAGCAACTTTTTAGGAGGAATAGTAATATATTCTATGAAATGTGTAGATAATTCATTATGAATGTGCAATGGAAATTCGACATTTGCTGAATTGAAAAAGATTTTCAACTGAAATCATAGTAAGGCCTTGTTTGAGTTCCATTATTTTCTCATTAAAATAACAAATATGACAATTATCTATCACATCAAACCACCATATTTAACTTTTTATCTTTTGTGTAGAATTCATAACGACTATATTTTTCATTCTTATTTTTACAATATGGGGCTCAAACGGGGGTTGAATCCCGGTTTGATTTAGCTAAAAAAGTTACAAAAATCTAAATTAATATTTAACCACTATCTCATAGGATCCACAACTTTGATCACATTTCATCAAATTTTAAATCTTTACTCTTTGGAGATCCCATCGGATGCAGACGGTATACAATAGCTAAAATCAATAAAAAAAGGACACGTGGGCTCGGGGAATCTGAAAAAAAGTCAAGATATTCATATTATTGTGAATTCAAGTGGAAGATAGATCAAAGACCTTGTTTCACGGCCCCTTTCTTCTTGGCATAGAAAGGAACACCGTGCGGCAGTAGTCTGCCGCTAGACTACCTTCCGTCTTTTCTTGATCGCGTCGGGACGAAAGAAAATTTAATTACAATTTTGTAGAAAGCTTACAATAGAGAATTTGAATACACTGAAAGTAAATTGAATATTGATTGATGAAAACTAAATATTACAATTGATGAAAGTAGAAAATTACAATTGCTGGTGCACGGGGCAGACACCAATGAGCTTGAAAGATTTTTGAATGACTAATACCCCATATAATAACATTTTGAATAAAAACCTAAGTGATAGGAGTAGACATTTAAAAGACGAGGAATCATACTAAACGTTTACCAATATCAGAGCTATTTGAAATAATTATTACAATGAAAAGAAAATTACAATCCAAACTTGAAGTAATATTTACAATGTGCGGTCGAAATTGGGCAAACTGCGGCTGCGATAGTGTCAAGGGGCTAATTAAAGCTGCAGTCTTTGACATTCTCTCCCATTTGTTTTGGCGACGTTCTCGGTGCCATCAATGCATGATATGCTTCAATTGATGGTTTGAAGGCTCCGAGATCTTTTTCTCTTTCCCAAGTATTCTCCTCACTGCTGCATCCCATCCATTTGACCAAGTACTCCTGATGATCTTTTCTAGAAGCTCGAGTGATTCGATGGTCAAGAATAGTTTCATCAACCTTCTTTTTAGCTTTCTTCAGTTCAAACACAGGTCGCTTTGGCTCATTTCTAGATGCGTCTGCCTTATCCGCAAAGTATGGCTTCAACACACTAACATGAAGGACCTTGTGGATTTTACACTATGAAGGGAGTTCAACTCTGTATGCAACTCTTCCAATCCTCTTCACGATGGGTAATGGTCCTATGTATTTTGGCAACAATCTTGAGTCTTTCACTCTTGTTGGTTTGTAAACATTTTCGTCGGGAAGCTTAACCATTACCAGATCTCCAATATTGAATTCAATGAAACGGCGCTTTAGATTTGCAGCCTTTTATACCCTCTTTGAGCTTTCTCAAGATAACTCCAAGCAATTTCAATATTTCGTTTCCACTCTTGACAAAAGTTCTTTGTTTGAGGGACTTGGTACTTCGTTCGATATCCACTGTATGAGGGAGTAGCGGTTGCTGGCCAGTAACAATCTCAAAAGGACTCTTATTGGTAGAAGAGCTCTTTTGGGCATTGAAGCAAATTTGGGCCGCATCCAAAAGTTTTACCCAATTTTTCTGCGAAATAGAGATAAAGTGTCGAAAATATTCTTCTATCATAGAATTGAAGGGCTCCGTCTGTCCGTCAGATTGTGGGTGAAAACTAGAACTCATGCTCAAAGTTGAACCAAGAAGTTTGAACAACTCAGTCCAAAATATGCCAGTGAAACGAGGATCTCGATCACCGACGATGTCCTTAGGCAGCCCCCAATATTTGACAATATGTTTGAAGAAGAGTTGAGCTGTCTCTTCTGCAGATACATACTTAAGCGCTGCAATGAAAGTTGCATATTTAGATAGACGGTCCACCACGACAATGATAGTGTCAAAATCCTCAATTTTTGGCAACCCAATAATGTAGTCCATTGATACACTTTCGAATGGCCGGATTGGGACGGAAAGGGGCTCCAACAAGCTCGCCTTTTTCTGATGATCTGCCTTATCTTGCTGACAAATAAGACAGGTTTTTACATATGTTGCAATGTTGTCCCACATTTGAGGCCAATAATATGCACATTGCAGTAGTGCACAAATGCATTCCTCTCCGAGATGCCCTGCCCAAATTGTGTTATGTCATTCTGTAATTAGTGATTTCCTCATATCTCCGCCCTTAGGAACATATAGGCGGTCTCCCTTTGTCTTCACTAGTTCCCCATCGAGCCAGAACTGTCTAGTTTTACCTTGCTTGATGAGGTCGACCAAATATTGGGTAGCCGGGTCCTTCTCCATAAGTGCCTGAATTTGGTCTCTCGTGTTTGTGGAGACTGCGCTCCCTAAAAGAGCAGCTACGGAGTAGATGACAGCTAAATCGACCCGTCGACTAAGAGCATCAGCAACATGATTACTAGAGGGGGACGATACTTTAACATAAAGTTGAACTCTGAAAGGAATTCTTGCCAACGAGCCTGTTTGCTCGATAGTTTTGGTTGGGGCATGAAGTGACTAACTACAGTGTTATCTATCTTCACAATAAATGGAGACCCAAGCAGATAGTGACGCCATCCTCTGAGACAATGGACCACTGCCAACAATTCCTTTTCATGTGTCGAGTAACGACGTTCTGTCTGATTTAGCTTTCGGCTCTCATATGCTATCGGATGTCCTTCTTGCATAAGGACTCCACCAAGTGAAAAATTTGAAGCATCTGTATGAATGTCAAATGGTTTAGCCATATCCGATAAGGCTAAAATCGGGTTCGTCCACATGGACTTCTTCAACCTTTCAAAAGCAGCTTGACATTGGGATGACCAATCACAATCTTTATCCTTCTTTGTCAATTCAGTAAGTAGCAGTGCAATTTCTGAGTAGCCTTTCACAAATCTTTGATAGTAATTGCATAACCCAAGAAATGAACGTACATCATGTACGATTTTTGGTGGTTGTCAATCTTTGATGGCTGTAACCTTCTTTGAATCCATGCGGATTTTACCTTGTTCAATGATGTGACCCAAGAAACTAATAGATGTATGAGCAAATGAGCATTTAGACGGCTTAGCATAAAGTTCATTCTCCCGTAGCCGATTAAAAACTTGCCTCACATGCTGGGCATGTTCCTCCAATGTCTCGCTGTAGATTATTATGTCATCCAAGTACACCACGAAAAAATCATCTAAGAACCCGTGAAGTACCTGATTCATCATGGTACAAAATGTTGTTGGAGCATTTTTCAAACCAAAAGGCATCACTTTAAATTCAAAGGCTCCATATCTGGTTACCACCGTAGTCTTTGCTTCGTCTCCCTCCTTGATCTGAACTTGCCAGTATCCGGACCTAAGATCAATTTTTGTGTAATACTTCGCCCGACTCAGTCGATCGAAGCAATCCGCCACCAGTGGGATAGAATAGCTATTCTTTACAGTAATCTTGTTCAAGGCTCGATAGTCGTAGCACATTCTAAGAGAACTATTGGCCTTTTTCTGAAACAATACAGGAGTTCGGTATGGCGACTTCGCAGGCACAAAGATTCAATTCTCCAACATTTCTCTCAATTGCTTCCTAAACTCTTCAAGCTCAGGCTGAGACATACGGTATGGTGCCCTGGCGGGAGGTTTGGCGCCTGGAATAAGTTCAATTTAATGATCAATCGTCCTTTTTGGTGGTAATTTCTTTGATAATTCTTCCAGCATGATATCCTCAAATTCCTGAATAAGTCTTTTAACAGGTTTTGGAATAGGACCATTCGCCTCCTCGATCTCCTCTAATCAAAGAGTGCACAAAAAAGAGGGTTCATTTCTCTTGAAACCCTTACTAAATTGCATGGCTGAGATACTCTTTTTGCCCATCCTCCCAACCTGTGTAGGGATGACACACGACTTATTACCCATCATCATTAACGAATCGGAATATGGCAACACTGTTGTCTTAATATCCCGAAGAAATTTCAATCCTAGAATAAGCTTGAAATCATCCATCTGAACTACAGATAAATTTGTCCTTCCCTTGAAAGGACCTGCTTTGATCAACACTGATTTCGCCACTCCAGCTATTGGTTGAGCAGGGAAGTTGATTGCTTTGACTTTTCCACTACCCTTTTCTAGAACAAGTCCGAGCCGCTCTATTTCGGTACATGCAAGATAGTTATGGGTAGCACCAGTATCCACCATAGCCCTGATTGGCTTCCCATTGATTTTTACATCAATGTACATTAAGCCTTTAGCCCTACAAATTCGAGCCTTCACTTCTTCCATCTTTGCCTCTTTCAATGGGACATCATTCTTTTCAGCAACCTG